GGAAGGGCCGCTGGCCGCGCGCGGCCGAGCCCCGCTCGCGCGCCCGTGCCCGCGGCGCCCAGGAGCACATGGCTCCGCTGCGGCCCCTCGTCCGCGCCGCGAGGGAGCCGCGGGCGGCGGAGAGGGAGGAGAGGCTGCGCGCCGGGGCCGGATGGAGCCCAGCGCAGCTGCATGCGCGTGGCAGCGCTGACAGGAGACGCAGAAAGGAGCGGTGCGTGCCACCCATTTCCGTCCCCATCCGCCCCTCTGTCACCGCCGGCACCACAGCGCTTCCTCGCTGCAACTTCCCGCCGGGAGGGGCACGGTGTCCGTGCCCCCGCGCCCCGCGGGCGCGCACGGCGGCGCCGAGGCGCGCGGGTGGCGCCGCGGCCGCGCTGCGAGGCGGCTCCCGCACGGCGCCCGCGCGCGCAGCCAGCGCCGCCTTTGTCCGCGCATCCCCGGCGCGCGCCGGCCCCACGCGCGCCCCCGCTTTGTGCCCTCGCTCCCCGCGCACAAAGAGCCGCGCGGCGCTCGCAGCCCCCCGGGCAGGGCGCTCCGGTACCTACTTGTGCTCAAGAAACAGTCCGTAAACCTCCTAAAGCAGCTGGCAGAATTAGATCCATCTTCCATGTCTGGCCCTGGGAGCAGGGGAGGCGAGGAGGAGAAGAAAGCGCCTCTCTGCCGCTGCTGCCGCCTAGGAGTCCTGCTCCTGCCGGCTCCGTCGCCTCCTCGGATCCCGTCGCCGCGGGCTGCCGCTGCTGCTGCTGCAGCACCGAGGGAATTGCAGGACCACGGGCGAGAGGCGGCCGGGGGAAGGAGGAGCCGAGGCTGGTGCTGCCGGGGGCCGCCGGCTGCGCAGCGRAGCAGCGAGCCTTGGATGGAGGAAGAACAGAAGAGTCTCCTCCTGCCGCTGCCGCCTGGATGGGCGATCAAGTGAGCTGCTGCTGCTGCTGCTCCGCCAACATCTCTTCCTCCTCCTCCTCCTGCCGCTCTCGCTGCCTCTCCTCCTCCCTCCCTCCCTYGGAGACTCGTGAGGTTAAAGGAAGACGAGGAGGGGAAACGAGGAGGCGGCGGCAAGAAGTAAAAAGAAGATGGAGAAGCGGAAGAAAAGGAGGGGATTGGAGCAAAGAGAGAAGCGGCTGCCGCTCCGGCGACGATGCCGGCGAAGGAGGCTGTCCCTGCAGCGCGGCTCCCGCTGCTGCTGCTGGTTGTTAGGAGGAGAGAGAGGGAGCTGCAGGCAGCCGAGGGGGGAGGAGGAGGAGGAGGAGCAGGGGAGCGGCCGCCGCCTCCACCTCCGCCGCCCTGGCCATGGGAGTGGAGCGGGCGGCAGCCGGAGCGGCGCTTTTCCCTCGCTGCCGCAGCCAGGGGGGCCGGGGGGGCGGGATGAGCGCCGCTCCGCGGGGTGGGACATGCGGCCGCTCTGCCCTCCCTTCCGCGCCGGCTTAAGGC